TTTGTGGATGGTAAAACACAGTCCCAGGGGACTTAAAGAGCTTGATTATAGAGAGTTGGCAGCAGAGCCAGGATTCTATTACTGGTCTTCAAATTCTAAATTCTCCTGCCCTTTATCCACATTCATTATTCTCCACTCACAGAACTTCATCACCCCAGAGAAAAATGTGTATGTATGTATCTGTGTGTGTAGTAAAGTAAAAAACATGTATAAAAGAAAAATATAAAATATGTATATAATATAAAATAAAATCATATAATCTCCCATCTAATGTACAGGTGCTTGGAGGAATGTGTGAAAACCAAATTATGTTATCTACCACCCTGACTTATTGGACTCAGAGCTCCTTCTCTACTTCCTCATTCACAGGAGACTCTCAAGACACCAGCCCTGCTTCCTCTGATTCCTCAGTCTGGCAGTGGGGTTCTGAGCAATGTTCTCATTAGAGCAGATTCCACCCTCAATGCAGCACAGCCTTTGGATGGAGGCTCTGTGGAGTTCATGATAATAGACTCGGCCAGCAGTTCCAATCAGGCAGACATGCCTGAGATGACTGCAATGCTCAGCCCAAAGTGTGGGTGGAAGACAACAGAATTGAACATGGACCCAGCGAGACACAGAGAACAGTGGTGGTTTGCAGAGACTGGGCAGCCAGAGTTTTCTCCTCCTGCCTCGCTTCCAGGCAGGGATCTGGGAGGAGGCAGACACTGAATGGGGTGTTGAGTAATAGGCACAATAATGCCAACTGGATTGCCAGGTGCTCTGGGGTCGAGTCTTTTTCAATTAATTAATTAATGCTCATCACACGGGGACAGCATGTGCACTTCGGGGCCTGGTGAGAGAGCAGGGCAGTGTTCTTCTCCCATTAATCCCAGAAAGGATTTTCTCATCTTCTGGACATGAGGGCAGGTGCTTGGGGGGTGTCAGAGCTAGAGGCAGCTGCAGTGGAGTAAAAGGAGCATGAGCTCTGGAATCAGAAACCTGGACTCTAATTCCAAATTTGTTTATGTATGAACCATAGGGCCTTGGGCAAATCACCACATTTTTCTGAAGTGCACCTTCTCATCCTCATCAATATATACATATGTAAATAATATAAATACATAAATATTGTATATATACAAAGCAAAATATATGCCATTTGTACAATATCTAATATTTACATATTTGTATAATATACATTATATTTCTATACATATTATACAAATATATAATATTTTTAAAGATTTATTTATTTATTTTTGAGAGAGAGAAAGAATGCGGGGCGGGGGAAGGGCAGAGGGAGAGAGAAACTTAAGTAGACTCCACACTGAGCAGGGAGCCCGACACAGGGCTGGATCGCAGGACCCTGAGATTATGACCTGATCTGAAACCGAGAGTCAGACACCTAACCAATTACACCACCCAGGTGCCCCCAAATATATAAATATCATATAAACATATATATACATACACATATATATATATACATTTGACCTTGGGAAAAGTGTCCTCTGAGACTAAGTCTCCCCATCTGTAAAACAGGTCTTGTATTGGGCTCACATAGGGGGCTGATGGGAGGATAAAATGATACTAACTACATAAGACATGGAGACACTCAAGAAGTGGTGCCCATTTCCCCTCCACAGGACTTAGGACAACTGTCATATTAGGAAATATTGATCCCGTTATGTGCTTCATGTCTGTCTCCCTGCCAGATTTTGAGCTTGATGAGAGCAGGAACCATCTCTGCCCATTTGTCACTGTCCCCAAGTCCCCACCAGAGTAGGTGCTCAATAAATTGTGGAGCTTGAACAAATGACTAAATGAGGACATTAGCTCCTACCTCGAGGAACTGTGGCAGCAGGAGAGGAGATCACACACAGAAGAGGGTATTGTAAGTCACTGAATGCCACGAAAATAAGAAAAACGGTTATTGCCATCATCTGTGAGGTGCCGAGGGGATCACAGACCACTGGGTGGGACAGGGGTGAGAAAGAAGGGAATTAGAACTGGGGCAAAGAACTGGAGGGGATGCCAGGAGCCATCAGGAGGTGGCTGAGGGAATGGAAAGAGGAATGACAGAGAGAGTGACATCATGGCTTTTGTAAAAATATCCAGGCCCTAAGCAGGGGCTGAGCATCAATCCATTTGTGACAACCATGAAGCTGAGGTGTTTGCACATCTTTCCCTCCTGAACACTGACCTTCCTCAGAAGGATTTTTTAATTCATTCATTCACTCATTCATTCAATCAATAAATAGGTATTGGTTTCCCACTGAGTGCACTTCACTGAGCACTTATTATTTTCACGTCAGAATGCAGCGAATATAGCAATGAATAAAACAGACCAAGTTCCTGTTCTGTGGAACTTACATGCCAGTGGAGATAGACAAATAATAAGTAAATTAGCCCCTACAGATATCATGTCCAGGATAAGTGCCTTGAAAGAAAATAAAACCGCAGAAAGCTATAGGGAATGATGGGAATTGGGGCTATGCTATTGAGAGAGGTCAGAAAAAGATCTCTCAAAAAGACCTCTCTCAATAGATACGAGCTGTGAGGAAATGTGAGGGAACAGCATTCTGAGCAGATGGAACAGCAGGTATAAAGGCTCTTGAGTGGGAGTATGGTTGACGTATTTGGCCAGGGTGGAGTGAACAAGGCAGAAGTAAGAGGTGAGATCAGAGAGGTGGTGGGGCACCTGATCATGTGAAGCCTCATTCTCCATGACAAGGAGTAATAAGATGAGTGAGATTATCTGACATAGTCTTTACCAGATCACTCTAGCTCCCTTGTGGAGAATAGATAGAGGGCAAGAGTGGCCTGAGGAGACCACTGAAGCACAGGGATTGCTGGTTCAGGTGAGGGATGATGGTGCCCGGGACCAGGGTGTGATGGAAAGGAGGGCAGTCCCTGAAATGAGGCTTTTTTCTACCAGTAAGGGCATTCGATTTGTATCAGAAATCAGAGGTAGAACTAAAGGGGGACCTTGAACTTCAGCTGGTCTAAGCACCCTCATCTGAGGTCACATGGGCAGACACTGGACAGAACCTGGCATGAACCCCCAGTTCAACAGTCTTCCTCCTCGTGGCTCCTGTTTGGTCATTGTCACTATCCCTTCTCTTTCTGTGGCTTTGGAGAAACAGATCCACCGAGAGCTACTGCATTTTAGAGGCTGAGGGTAAAATTAAGAACAACTTGCTTTTCATTTATAATTTATGCATTATACACCACCTACTTCCCAAAAGGATTTGAGACAGCTTACAATAACAATCATCTTTAAACCATCTGCACAGCCACTGAAAAACATGTTTTTGGAGAATCCTTAATGGCACAAGAAAATGTTCAAAACATAACTTTAAGCGAAAAAGAAAGGACACGACACTTTATTTACTATAATATTGTTAAATAATATAAAGACAGAGAGAGAAGAGAGGGAAGAAAGAGAGGAGAGAATGGGGAAGAGGAAGGGAGGGGAAAGGCAGGGAACAGAAACAGGGAAGGGAGGGAAAAATAAATTGGCAAGAAACATTAACAGTGGTTATTTCCCTTCTTAAAATTATATAGAGAGATCTCATTGTTAATAACATGGTTCCCTGAGATGTTGTAACTAAGATGATTTTGAAGGGTAGTAACATCTTTTTAATGTTAATAGTTATATATTTATAGATCAAATGTGTATTTTAAAAATACAGCTAACACATCAAAACCACGTGTGCTGGCTCAATCTCATTTGTCCCTCCAGATCCATTCTCCACTTCCCTCTGCCCTGATCTGTGCAGAAGAGACTCCTTTGTCCTCTAGCTTTTGGCTGGATGGAGTCAACAGGGACTCCAGTGAAAAACCAGAGGGCAGAAGAGAGAGGGGTGAGGGTATTCCCTCCCTGTCCCCTGCCACAACCTTCTTGCCTTACCCCAGCTCTGGACCCACCATGTCCCTCAGCTGCCTCCCAGGGCTCCAGCTATCCTTGGGTCCCACTAATACTGTCTGGTTTCCTCTCTGCTAGTTCCTAGTGTTTCACTGTCTTTGCTGCTTCTCTCAACCCAGCCCTCAACTCAACAGCAGTCCCTTTATTAAACCCTCTTTAGTACTTCTTAAAGTTTAATGTGCATAAGAATCACCTGGAAGGCTTGTGAAAATACAGATTCCTGCTCATCCCCACCCCCCACCCCCAACCTGAGACTCTGATTGTATAGGTCTGGGCAGGGCCTGAGAAGTCTTATTTCACACAAGCTCTCAGGAGACGCGACACTCTGAGGAACAGTCCCTTGGTTTAACTTTTTGGATGTGTTGTCTACTTCCCGCCTACTCATACTTGAGCAGAGCAGTCCAACAGAAGTTTCTATGATGGTGTAAATGCTCTATAATATTCTGCACTCTCCAATGGGGTAGCCATATGTGGCTTGTAAGTACTTATAAGTGGTTAGTGCAATTGAAGAATTTCATTACATTTTAATTTTATTCCATTTCAATTAATAAAAATAATTAGCTCTGAGCTAATAAAAGTACTTGGCACTTTCAACATTCGACCTGGAAATGTCCTTAACCAGAGTGACAGGTTCATTAGGTACTATGTCTACCTTCACGTTATTGCAGGGCACATTCTGCTAATGGTTCTGGCAGTTCATTCTTCAAGTCCCACTTTCTCCTGCCTCCAAGAGCAATGTTCTCACTGCCCTTCCGGCCTCCGTTTACAGTCTCCTTGAGGTGCTCCAGCCTCCAGCTGATGCCTGGTTCCAAGGCCACTGCCATGTATTTTAAGTTTATGTGACCTCAGCGCCCTACATCCAAGTACTGATTTCTTTTTCAGTTATGTACTGATGTAGAACAAGCCGCTCGAGACTTAGTGACTTAAGTCAACAACCATTTTACCTATCTCTCCTGATTCTGTGGATTGACTAGGTTCGGCCAGGTGATTCTTCTGCTCTATATGGTGTCGGCTGGGGATACAGTTATCTGGGGGGCATAACTGGGATGGAACATCCACGATGGTTTACTCACCTAACCAGCAGCTGGAGTCAGCTGGACGCTCGGGTGGGACTGTAAGCAGAGTGCCTCACTTCTTATCCACGTTTCTTCTCCGTGGAGCCTGAGTTTCTCACAGCATGGCATCTGGGTTCTGAGAGGCAAGAAGTGGAAACTGATCAGAAATCCCAGGACATCATTTCTGGTGCCTTCTGGTGGCTAACGCCAGTCGTGGAACAGTACAGATTCAAGGGACACAAGTTCCACCCCTTGGTGTGAGGAACGGCACCTGCACAGGGAGAGGGGAGGGATGGCTGGGGTCATCTTTGGGGACAGGCTGCCACAGTGCCTCTGCCCTTAGCGAGTGTCCTTCACAGCCAGGATGAACTATGCAGACCACTGCTTCTCAAAATGTCAGTGTACCCATAATACCCTGGAGGTTGCGTGACAAAGCAGCTCTGATTTACTGCATTTAAGTGAGTCCTAGAAAGACACGTTTTACAAATTTCAGGTGACTGCAGATGCTGCTGGTTCAAAGATCACACTCCGAGTAAGAAGGATGCTATTTACATAGTGGAGGGAGCTGAGAGTTTAGGATCACAGACCTAAGTTCAAAACCCATCTCTACCTCTTTTTTTGCTGTGGGTCCTTGAGTACCCTCTAGCCTCAGGTTCCCCATCTGTTAAAATGGAAAGTGAAACTCATTTTCTAAGAACCAATAGGAAGAAGTACAATATGGTACCATTGAGTCTCTTGTTATTTGTGTGTCTTGGGGCACTTAACTTCCCTTATCTAAGCTTTAGTTTCTTCACCTAAAATTAAAGTGGGAATGGGAATGATAGTACCTACCACATACGGTGGTTGTGAATATTTGTGAAAACTTGGAATTAACATATGGTGAATATGTGAGAAGATATGGGATATATACTTGTTTCCCTTTTCCCTTTCTTCCCTCTCAACCCCATCAAAACATATCCCAACAGGTCAGCATTTGCTATGATTTGGTAGACGGACAGGTTGGAAGGAAGGAAGAGCTGAGGTTCTGAGGTAAGCGAAGTTGAAAGCTAATCCATGGTCTACATCTAACAATGACCCACTCCATGGAAAAGTAGGAGTTTGCTTCTCCTTCTCCCCCTAGTGGGTTGGAACCAAGAAAATAAGCAAGAACCATATTCGTCCTAGATGCCTGGCAAATAGCCTCAGCTCCGTTGTTTGTGGTATCAGTGCCTCGTGTGATTAATGATCCCTGCTGGGAAATTCAGCTATGGCATGATCGCAATGAGAAGAATCATGAGGCACTGAGTCCCAGAATGCTCCTGAGCTAGTTCCACATGGGCTGTGCCCCCATGGGGATCCTTGAACCATTACTGGGAATCAGATGCTCCGGACTACTGAGGACAGTTCAAGTCTGTTTGGTCATGTATTTGGGCTCTCTTGTATTCACTGAAATCTGTATAGAAAACAAAATGGCTCTCAAAACTTGGGGATGATGTCAGGATATGCACCAAAACTACCCTACTTGGGAATAAGGCCACAACTGACAAGGCAAGAAAAAATGCCTAATGTTCATTTTGCCCTTCATGCTCTGTTCTGAGAGAACGTGTACACATGCATTATCTCATCTTTACAACAACCCTAGGGAGAAGACAGCATAATAACCCCCATTTTATATATAAGGAAACCAAGGACACAGAAATGAGGTGATTGGCTTAGGGTCGTACAGTGACGTGGCAGGACGTGGACTTGAAATCAGATCTGCTTGATGACAAAAACTGCTGCAGTGTGTTCTGAGGGCTGGAGGCAGGTAGCATCTCACAGACAAAAATAAGCTTTCTCTCCTGCTTCAGTGACTCAGATGTTGGTCCCTTGTTCCAACACACACATATACCCCTTGGGAAGAGAGAGCAGTCATAATAAAGCAGGACTTTAGGAAGCTACCTCCTCTAGTTCTATTGACCAAGGCAGAACTGGAACAATCTATTGATCTGATCCGATCTGATATGAATACACTGTTCCCTGCATATGTGACTTGGCACCGTGTACCTGGGTGACCAGGTGTTCCAGGCTGGATGCTCTATGCCTCTGAGGTTTGGCACTGCATTGCATCATTTTCCCTCCCTGCAGGCCTCTTCTTCCCCAGTGGGCTGTGTCTTCCTTGAGGACCCAGACCTTACCACGTTCTGCTTCAAACCCTCTGCATCGCCTGCCGTGATCCCTGAGGCAAGACCCGCCTCCTCTGGAGCCACTCCATCTCTACTCTGCTCCTCCAGCCTACCCTCTGGAATGCTCTGAAAATGCAAATTAAATGAGGTCACTCCCAACTTCAAAATCCCTCAGGAACTCCCACTGCCTTTCAGGTCAGAGCATCCGAAGTCCTTCCTAAACTCATCCCCTGCTGTTCCCTTACCCACATCCGGCTCCCCAGCCACACCCAGTCACCTGCAGCATCACAGCGGGTTCTCACTTCCCCACTTTTACTCATGCTGTTTCCTAGGCCTGGAATGCCTTTTCCTCAACTCACTCGCCTAACAGTAGGCCTTCAGCAAGTCACCTCACCTCTCTGAGATTCAGCTGACTCATCATTACAATGAGGCTAACAACTATGCCTCCCTCACACGTGGTTGGACAATTAAGGAGGACAAGACATGCAACGTGGCCAGAACAGTCTGGCAGCCATTAGTGACTCCACCTGGCTATGGTGGGGAGGAGGTCTAATCCTTGGCCTCGGAATCCTCCCTGCTCATAGCACCTTAGTCACTTTTATGTTTTCCAAGGAAGCTTCTCTCACTATCCTGTCCTCTACCCAAGGCTTTTTCCTTCCAGAAAACCTAACTGTGAATGATCTACAGGGAATAAAGAAAAGTGTTGCTTTATTCTCTCCTATGGTCAAGGGAGAAAAGAGAAGGAGACATAGAAAGCCCAAGGAAGAGACAACTTCAGAATGGTCACTGGACTTGGAGAGATTCAGACCCAAGCTTGGGGACGGGGGACAAGGGGATTGATCACTTCCCTTTCTGAGAGAGTGACTTGAAGTGTAAAGACAGTCTCATTCAAGACCATACATATCACTTTCTTGGCAAACTACCATTTGTTGCCCTTTGGGAAAAGCATGAGCAGAAGGGGGAAAATATTAGAAAAGTATTTTACCCTAAAAGCCCCACAGACTTTTGGATGAATTGCCTGCCATGGCTAGAGCCACAGGGAGGTTCCAAGCAGTTACTCGCCCAAGATTCTCATAAATTGTCAGCTTCGACAGCCGGATGCTAAACTGAACTTGAGGGAGAAGAGAAAGAGGCATAAACATTAAATACATAACCTTTCAAGTGTGTCCCTTCATTTCCTGACTGTTTCTTCTCCAAAGGGAATCGTTTTCTCTTTTCTTTCTCCTTTTTTTTTCTCACTTGACATCGCACAGAGGAGTAAGAGATCATCAGTGAGATTTCTGATTCACCACACTGACAACGGAGCTCTAAGAAAGAGAGAGCAGTTCAGCAGAAAGCAGAGTGTGGGAGGCAGCCGTCTTGGGTGCTTATGCCCGCTCTATCATTTTCCCATGACATGTCTTCTGGCGAGGGGCTAACTCTCCAAGCCCCACTTCCCTCATCTGCAAAATGGGTAAAATCATGCCTACCACTCAGAGTAGCTGGGAAACGTAAGTGGAGGAAGACATACACAAGGCAGTATGTAGTATGCACTCAACACATGGCTGTGATTGTTGTTCTGACTGCTGTTCTTTTACTGGAATACACTTAAAATACTTCCGTAGCCACCCAAAAGAGTCCTCTGTGCCTCGACACTCTGATTTCCCTCCCCTGCTTCATTTTTCTCCATAGCCCTCATCAGCACCTGAGAGACAACACATATTTCCTTGTTTGTAATTATCTCTTTTCCTCATAAGAATGTAAGCTCCTTAAGGACAAAGATCTTCATCTACTTTGTTTTATTACAAAAATCCCAACAGTTATCAAATGCTTAGCCCATAGGGGATGTTCAATAAATATTTGTTGGACAAATGACTCAATTAGGGCCAGAGATGGTTCCAAGATGGAGTACACACAGGGCTGGCAGTTGATGCCGGCTGTCAGCTGGTAGCTCAGGGGGGCCTGTCCCCAGGTGTACCTCCCATGACCTCTCCAGCATGGCAGTCTCAGGATAGTTCCATATCTTACATCACAGTTGGCTTCCCCCAGAGCAAGTGCCTCAAGATGACAAGGTGGAAGCTTTGCCTTTTACTGACCTAAAGGCTCAAAAGTCACAGAGTGTCACTTCTGCCATGGTCTATTAGTCAAAGCAGTCACAAGCCCACCCAGGTGCAAGAGGAGGGAACACAGACTCGACTTCCTGATGGGAGGAGTGTTAAAGGATTTGAAGCCATTTCAAACCTCCACAGACATGATCTCAAATGCCTACAGGGACTAGCCAGGTATAAGTAAGGGCAGTGGATGTTGATGAGTGATTAATAGAGAGGGGTGTGAACTGTGGGGGAATGAAGCCTTTTGCCCTGTCTGGAAGGACCATCCAGAACTTAGCTCAAGTGAAGGGTGGAATGTCCCAATTTTAAAAACACGACATGAGCCAAAGAGAGTATGTCTCAAGACCCGTGAGTTTTCACTTGTTGACTCCAAAGATAAATGATCTGAAGTAGTGCTTTGTATGAGCAAGGGGTCTGCCATTTATTCCTTCCTATTGGGTGAATTTGAAGGAACTTTGGAGTACCCTTTTCCAAAACAGGAAATAATGGGAATCAGATAAAAGACCTCTTCGGGAGGGGGCGGAGCAAGATGGCGGAGGAGTAGGAGACCTGGATTTCGTCTCCTCTCAGGAATTCAGCTGGATAGGGATCAAACCATTCTGAACACCTACA